CTCCCTACCTCGCACCGGGCCCCGCGTCAGATAAGGACGGCCCTTATGGTTCATTCTTTTAGAACTGTGCTTTTGACGATTTGCTTTAGGCCACACGAACTAGAGAGACACAGATAATGGTACAGTTACCATTAAAAAGTACAGTTAATGGTAAACACACTTTTGAACAAATAAAATCCCCCAGTGAAACAGAAACCCTGCCTTAATTATATAAAACCATACCTTTGCAAAAATATATCTGCAAATTAATGAAAATTGTCACATTTGCGTTTATGACAATAAAATTAATTGCGTTTCTATTTAATGTTTCAGTTATTGTGTGTTTAGAAAATGGCATCACTTGAGCGTCGGACATTCATAGTGGGAGAATTAGAATTTAAGTACAAAATATCCCACATCTGATCTGAATGAACGCGGCAATCACGCGATCGTGAGAAATTCATGGCATTGTGAAAGGTATAGTTTTACTGCTTTCTGTGGTATGTCAACAAACTGCAGGCTTCTTGTTAGGGCACTACAGACGAAAAAAACTGCAGGTTGTCTGGTTTCGGTTCTAATTGTGTGTTTTTGAGGGCTCACAGGCGGAATAGGGCCTACATGCGCACAAAATCCCAAAAGCGCTGGTTAGCTTAGGTAAATCATAAAAGCGATTGTAGATCTCAAAGTTTTCAGGAGTATTAGAATGCTAAAGTGCATCATAAGCAGACAAACTCCTAACCACACAATTACATTATTATTATTTTAATACATTCTTTATACAGACTTGTGACTTCAACAGATTGACAATTGTGTGAATTAAATTCAGCTCATTGTTCATTGTTCAGCTCATTCGTCATATGAAAAATGGGCTTTGATTTACAGGCAGTTGGAGGAGGCAAATAAATTAGCTGTCGTGCATGAAAATCAGTTATGTGTTGCGCAACCCACTTGTCTTTCCATGCATTTTCCTCCTTTCACAACATCGTCTTCCTCTATGACGCTCCAGAGCTCGCCACAATGTTATGGCCACCTTTAACAATGAGCAAAGAGTAGGCTGCTGAATCTCTTTTAAAAGGCAAAGGCAACTTTAGAACCCTGTCTGTGTATATCTGGATCTTGGAGCCCTGGTTAATGTATATTAAAAAATTACATTTCAGAGCCACATAGTGATTTAAAAATATTATAGCAGTCAGTCCTGACATTCAAATTAAATTCAAAGTATTGCCCATAATAACTACTACCAACCAGTGTTAGACACGTTAGACACCTGATAGAGTTTGCGTGTGTGTCACTACCGTTCAAAAGTGCGGGGTCAGTATAAGATAGATAAGACGTATTGGAATGATTTCTGAAGGATTGTCAGTTTTAGCCAGTGACAGAGCATCAAGCACGTGTTTAATTTAGACATACAGTAATAAATATATAGTTCTACTGTAATTCTTATGCAGGTCTGAGACATTTCCACTGCTGTGCTGCCTAAGCTACAAGCTTTGTTTGTGATTTAATAGTTTTAAAATATATCAAATAAATACAAAACCTAATTAAAAAGTTGTTTAACCATGTTTATTTCCTGGATTAAACTGCCTACTTAAACTAGGTTCACGCATAGACAAGTGAAAACTACACCGTGGTGTTGTCCAAATTCAGCTTAACTATTTGCATGTCACATGGTGACAACTATCCAATCAGGTACCAGGTTATCTGACCTATGTAATTAGTCCGGAAAATAAACATAAAAGCTAACTATAAACGGAGATTGTTCTCCGTGTACAGTGTTCTTGGTTTTGAGCTCATAAAATACGATGTGTTAAATTGCAAAGCATATTGTGCAAGTAAATATGGAAGCAAGGGGGTTAAATGAGGAGTTCAGAAATGTTTACCCATCTGCCTTCGAGGCGCACTCAAGCCGGTCTGCGTCAGAAACTCCGATGTTCTCCGCGGCGGAACGACCGACTTCGACAAGCGCCGAGTCTCTCACTCCTTACGTTTCTTTTCCAGCCAACATTGGCACTAGCTCCTCAGTCACTTTTGGATGTCGTTTCGGAAATAGTTGTTATAGTTGCAAATTTCCACAGAACGCCATGTTTCCGTCTAGTGTTGTAAAACAAAATGCGAATGGACAGTCTGCCAGTAAACCCGTGGACTATTGTGACGGCTGGCTTAAGGAGTTCGCTTTTTACCAAAGTTACACAGGTTCCTACCCAAGAATCCACCCTGCCTATATTGATTTACCTGTAGTTCATAGAACAATGACCGGAGATTCCAGACAGGATACTTGCTTGACAATGGAAGGCCACCAGCCATGGAACTGGTCAAACAATTGCAGCGGTCAACTTTATTGCTCCAAAGACCAGACGCAGAGCCCGCATATCTGGAAGCCATCATTAACAGGTAAGACTTGTGAGATCTGCGCTGTGAATCACTCCTCGCCTCTCTTCATTAGTTTTTGACACCGCCTTATTAAATGTCATGATCATGTCCGTATTAAAGTAGGCTAATTAAATTAATTCTTAAAATAAATGAGAACCACAGGCTAAGTACGCCGAAATTAATCAGGACAAATATTAAAAAAACGTTCCCCGTTAAGTAAACAGAGTTCTTTTGAACCTGGCTTTCTTTCGATGGAAGTTTACAAGACGCCATTATTTTGGTTTTAAATTAATGTTTACATTTAGATTATTGGAAGGTGTTTCTTTAAAAGGCTGCGTTAAGGTAAATTGCAATAAATGTTACATCATTGTTAATCTTGGAATAATGAAAAGATCTTGTAACAAAAGACAAGCTATTATAATGATTTGTATTTCCTCAGAGGGAACCGCGGGTTCGTTCTGTCAGCGCGGGAGAAAGAAGCGGGTTCCTTACACAAAATTGCAACTGAAAGAGCTCGAGCGGGAATACACCAACACTAAGTTCATTACAAAGGAAAAGAGACGACGGATCGCTTTTTCTACAAACCTGTCTGAGAGACAAGTAACTATCTGGTTTCAAAATCGTCGAGTCAAGGATAAGAAGAGACCTGAAGTCTGCAAAGAATTTTAATCCTATTAAAGGTCCATTCGTGCATATGCTGATTTATATAGTGAAGAGTTTAGCTCTTTGTTCCTTTTTTATTAACAAGGGCGATTTAGCCTATTATTTTATTATTTATATCTTGTTCAAATATTTGGATGTACTCACATTCATACTCAGTCGTAGTTTATTCAGATAATTTTATATTGGCTTCCAGGTTTGCTGAAAGAATGTTCAGATGTTCAAACTGTTTCAGTAGCTTGAGGGTTTTTTTCCCCCAGTTGTTTTTTATAATTTAAGTTTTGTTAAACAATTGGCATTAGTTATTTCTACGCCATAAGCCAGGCTACTGATCTCTCCTTTCAGTCAAAATGTTATGTTTTACTTTTCGTTTCATGTGAGTGCAGTGTTGTGTATAGTAGATTTATGGAAGGATCTGTAACATTAACGCTAATAATAATAAATAAATACATTCAAGCGTAATGTTGATTTAAGAGATCCGAGCGACTAAAAATAATTTGTTTTAAACCGTAAGACTGTGGCTGGTTTCCCCGAAGCAAAACGTTAATAGCGTGAAAATTGCGGTCTTTAAATAATTCCGTATTTCCGATTACGTTTGCATTTATCATAGTTATTAAAGTGTTTTATTTTATTTATTGCCATTGCAAAGCTACTGTACACTATTCAACTGGCTTGAATTTAATGTTTAACAGTGATAGACCCACAATTTTATGTAGCCCTATTTTGAGAAACATAAATGAATTTCAATACAGGATTGATATTCATAATAGTATGGATTCCACAACTGTTTAGGCCTGCAACGGTCTGTAAATGTATTTTATAGATGAATAAATGGGAACACATAGGCTACTGGTAAAATGTAAGCTATGCCTCAAATGTCCTCGAAGTCGCTTTGGATAAAAGTCACAGCTTTTTTTCCAAATGTGAATGAATTAGTAAGCCTAAATGTAAACACACTATCACTATCACAAAAGTAAAGTATTAGTTACAATATTTAAGTGCGATATCCATACACACAGTTATTATTTTGTTAAATCAGCCCACAAATTGTTTTATTGTTGATTTGTTTGACTTTAAAGGTTCATTGAAAATCTTTGAAAAGCAAAAAAGTCTACACAACACATGCATTTTTGTTTCCTTTCAAATAGGATTTCATTATATAACACATTAACATCTTTTGAAACTGGGTCTTCTCACTGACCTTGAGACGTATTGTCAGACTAGACCTTGATTGACTTCAAGAGGTCTCATGAATAAAACTTGCCACCAATTCATGAAGCTGCATCGCCACCTACCGGTTAGCATGTGCCTTACATTAAGATCAAATTCATTTTTGCATAAAGAGTAAACCATTTTGAGAATTAATTCAGAAGCTATGATCATTTAATAGGGAAGATGGCGCTTTTTAGTTATGAATAAATATGTAATATGCAGTGGCAAATTAAAAAAAAAAACGTGTAATGTAGAGTTAAAAAGTTATATTAAGTTATATGTGTTGGTCAGAAAATACTTCCCTCAAGGGTGGGGACTCTCATGGCAACTCGTAGCTGTTTTACGTTTTGCCGAATTGCTGGCAAATTCATGCGAGGGTTTAACAACGGCAGTACTTAAACGGTAATATTTTAAATGAAATGTTTATAGTTCCCTGTCACGCTGTTTTCAGCTTTTAAAAGCGACGCTTTTCATCAAATTATCTGCCTGGTTGTTTGGGACAAATTGTAAATGAAATTTAGACTATGACAACCGGTTTTTACTCTGGCTTTTAAATGCACTTGGACTTGTTTTTGGTCAATCCGCGTCTGGACTTTGACCTTGAACTATACTGACGTACCATATAATTTTCATGTACACATTTTTGTTTTTTAAGGTTGAACAAGTGATTCTGGGCTTCTGTGTTGTCAGTACGCAACAGAATGTGAATGTCTAAAGCAATCCGATTTTAACGGTTTTCATGAATTTACTGGACCCGTAAAATGTGGGAGGTTAGCTGTCTCCACTCTTTCCGGAAATTGCCTGTTTACAATAGTAATTTTGCCTGCACGTGTGTGCATGTGCACATTCTTTAAAATCGTGTTTTGGATCATCTGGACAAATCTTTGAAGGTAAGATCAAATATAACTTGCATATCCTACAGTGTCAATTTTGAGAGACAGATTACAAAGAGATCCGATATCTAAAGTAATGTTTAATTTCTTGCACCGATAGCTCGGCATCTCAAGACAACCGACTTAAATGTTTATGTAAGATAGCCTATTATAAAGAATTGACAGTGTTAGGCTTTACTTTCTTTTCAATGTTTTTTTTTTTACTTTATATATTTACTTTTACAATACATATTTCAAAATATAGTGAATATAGTGAATTCAAAATATATTAGAAAAATAGTGAATCGTGCGTTACCAAAACCTTATACAGTATATAGAAAAATTCATAGATTGAAATGAATGAATCGAATTAAGATATCCGCCACTCTGTAACGAAACTCCCTACCTCGCACCGGGCCCCGCGTCAGATAAGGACGGCCCTTATGGTTCATTCTTTTAGAACTGTGCTTTTGACGATTTGCTTTAGGCCACACGAACTAGAGAGACACAGATAATGGTACAGTTACCATTAAAAAGTACAGTTAATGGTAAACACACTTTTGAACAAATAAAATCCCCCAGTGAAACAGAAACCCTGCCTTAATTATATAAAACCATACCTTTGCAAAAATATATCTGCAAATTAATGAAAATTGTCACATTTGCGTTTATGACAATAAAATTAATTGCGTTTCTATTTAATGTTTCAGTTATTGTGTGTTTAGAAAATGGCATCACTTGAGCGTCGGACATTCATAGTGGGAGAATTAGAATTTAAGTACAAAATATCCCACATCTGATCTGAATGAACGCGGCAATCACGCGATCGTGAGAAATTCATGGCATTGTGAAAGGTATAGTTTTACTGCTTTCTGTGGTATGTCAACAAACTGCAGGCTTCTTGTTAGGGCACTACAGACGAAAAAAACTGCAGGTTGTCTGGTTTCGGTTCTAATTGTGTGTTTTTGAGGGCTCACAGGCGGAATAGGGCCTACATGCGCACAAAATCCCAAAAGCGCTGGTTAGCTTAGGTAAATCATAAAAGCGATTGTAGATCTCAAAGTTTTCAGGAGTATTAGAATGCTAAAGTGCATCATAAGCAGACAAACTCCTAACCACACAATTACATTATTATTATTTTAATACATTCTTTATACAGACTTGTGACTTCAACAGATTGACAATTGTGTGAATTAAATTCAGCTCATTGTTCATTGTTCAGCTCATTCGTCATATGAAAAATGGGCTTTGATTTACAGGCAGTTGGAGGAGGCAAATAAATTAGCTGTCGTGCATGAAAATCAGTTATGTGTTGCGCAACCCACTTGTCTTTCCATGCATTTTCCTCCTTTCACAACATCGTCTTCCTCTATGATTCAAAATATAGTGAATTCAAAATATATTAGAAAAATAGTGAATCGTGCGTTACCAAAACCTTATACAGTATATAGAAAAATTCATAGATTGAAATGAATGAATCGAATTAAGATATCCGCCACTCTGTAACGAAATGTTTAAAAAGATGGATTTTTTTGCAGGCATTGGAAAATTTTCACATTTGGGATTTTTTTTAAATTGTATAATACTCTGTCAAAAGTGTAAATTGCACAGGAAGAATTTAAACTTTTTTTAAACGTGTTTGTGAGCTTAACGTTTTTTAAACCCCTGTTTATACTTAATAAAACACGAACGCAGCTCTTTTGACTATGTAGCCAAACCAGCTGTAATGCATTACTAATATATATATATATATACACACACACACACACACCATCCAAATGCATGTTTGCCCCCATACGCAAGCCAAAGGCACACCAGTAATCTTACTTTCTGTAGCCTAGCCTTCATTATTAATAAACGCTTTCATTTTGTGCACTGTATTATGTACGATATTCTAAAGAACTGACAAAGTTAGGATTTTTTTTCTTTTAATTTTTTTTCTTTTTCTTTTTTATTTTACGTATTTGCTTGTACAATACATATTTTACAAAAATAGTGAATCATGCGTTACCTAAACCTCCTTATATATATAAATTCATAGATTTAAATAAATAGACAAGAAATTGAACTGGGATGTCTGCAGATGTTATTTTATATGCTTTTTATGCAATGCCTATTTCTGACTTTGCAGCACGACTGTCACATGGGCGTGGCTAAACATTTTACTTTGCATAACACGTGATGGTGCATTAACAAATCAACAATTACCTTGCTAGTATTCTTTAGGGGTAACTAAAAACGGTTTTAAGAAGCGATCAGGCAAGCTCGTCAGAAATGTGCGAGCACAATCTTCTTAGTTCTGGGTATGTTGCTCCCCTTTTGAATTTTCACTCTCCCGACTCCCTGTACCTCCAAAACTTGCGAGGCAGTGGAGTCCATCTATCTGGGCTTCCGCAGATGTCCTACAGTAGAAGAGAGGTGTGCTCGCTCCCGTGGACTTCTCCAAATTCGTGCACTACTCCGGCCCAGAGCCGCGCCTACAGTGGCTACTCTCAGCCGTTTTTTAGCAATTCAGCCGCTGTGAGCGCTAGCCTCAACACTCACAAAAAGGGCTCACTGGAGGAATCCGGGAGGTACTACTTCCAAGATGTTAGCCACAAATCAGAGGAGCCTGGACGACCTAATGCAGCTTACGCAATTGAACAGAGACTCACTACTGACTCCACCAGCAATGAAGTTTTAAACTTGGAAAGGCGACAGCAGAACAGGGTTGCACAGAATCAACGTAACTTCATTGACCAGCCAGTGACTGATGCTTCAAAGCAGTCTGTCAGCTCCAGCGCTCAATTTCAACCATCACTGAACACCCCGACTATTAGATCATCCTTCTCCGATGGTACGCAACTTCTTCCTTGACCCTTCCGTCATAGACACCAACGCTGTGCCTGAATGTCACTCTTGATTTCAGTGGATTATACTCTGTAGTCTTTGTATGTGTGATGTTATAAAACCGTTTGCTTTGTTCAGTTATAGGCAAGCTATTTCAGCCATTGAGTTTGCCACGCTTAACTTTTCAACACTAGTTTGTTTTCAGACAGAAAAAAAAGTAATTACGCATGCTCCACGATATAGTAAAAATGACAGAGGAATCAGAGTTGTCGTTGTGTTTTTAATGGTTAACATCTTTGATTAAGATACTAATTCAGTGGTTTGCAAGAATGATACCAAGAACGATTGGTGAATTCATTTTTTTCTCTCTCTTTCCCAGGACTGCCGTGGTGTCCATCACAGGTGAGATCAAGAAAAAAGAGGAAACCTTACACGAAGCCACAGTTAGCCGAACTGGAGAACGAATTTATGATGAATGAATTTATAAACCGACAGAAACGAAAGGAGCTTTCGGACAGATTGGAACTGAGTGATCAGCAAGTGAAAATCTGGTTTCAGAACCGCAGGATGAAGAAAAAAAGACTTATGATGCGCGAGCATACCTTCACTGTTTACTAATTTTTTTTATTATTTTTTTAGATATATAATAACAGTCAAGGATTTCTTTTTTAGGGGGTGACATCATTCATACTGATCATTCACAAGTTACTTTTATGACGGAGATGAAAGTCCACCAAACCCCTCTGGAAAGGATTATCTCCCGAACACCTATTAAATGTAATTTAATATTAAAGCTGAATAGGCTATTGAATAATTAAAGCTGAACAATTTTTAATTTATATCTATTAGCCATGAAGTCGCTGCATTTGTATGTGTCTGGTGTATGTTTTTGGTGGAAAAAGGGTAATTCCAAAGTTGTAATGTTAGCTTGCTATATATTGTCTAAAAAGAATGCTTTGTAGTTTAAAACCGCAGCAAAATTTAGAGTAGGATATGTGTATATTGGGTTCATAACATACATTCTGGCGTCATTTAAAAGTACA